GAACTGTGAAAATTATGAGTTTTAAGAATCTAACAGTCTGTATGATTTAAAGGAGTTTGACAATATTCCTAGGTGTTATGATGGTATAACCTTTGGGAGATTTGGACTTCATACCTGGTTGTTTTTGACTTGTAAGTGTGTTAGTCTCTTGCATGTTATTCAGAGTATTGGGTGTTGGTAAAACAGTCTTTCACACCTTCATAATCTGACAGTATCTATGTGCACGTGTGTTCGACACACATTTGGAGCATTACTGTTTCCTAAGTTGCCTTCTATTTTGGTTCACTGTTGCTTCATTTGCTTTGTCACTTTGAGGTGTCTTGGCTCATGATATGCTTTCGAATACTTGGGGGTAACCAAGTTCCTTGGCTAGGAAGTATGACTCTGATCTTCTATCCTACTCATGACACGCGATTAAGCGAGCAGTCATGAACAATCTTGCTTCTGCCGTGTTTTCTAAGAAGTTTGTCCAGGGAATAGATAAGGAGGAATTTCTTCTCTCAGAGGGTATTGAACCTATGGAATTCTTTACTGCAGGTGGCTGTCGAGTCTGGGTAATTAAGTATATTTGAAACTGAAATAAATTTTTAAACAGTAAGGGAATCAAGCAGTACAAAGACAAGGCAGGAAAGCAGAGTTCAGGATTATCAGATCAGCCATGATCTCATTGAATGGTGGAGCAGACTTGATGGTCTGAACAGCCTACTTCTTCGCCGATGTCTTATGGTCTGCATTTCTGAGAACTTGCACAAGTGATGAATTGTCGGGGTTGTCCGAACTTACGTTTCAAATATGATCTCTGCTGTTGATAGTAAGCCCATATCTACAGGTGTAACTCTTAGCAGTAGCACAGAAATATGAAGATTCTGTTTTGGCACCCTGCACTTCACACTAAGTGCTTTAATGGTACAAGCCAGTTGCTCGGTGAGACTGCTGGATGTGGGATAATTTAGTGAGGCTGTCACATGATTTATGCTCCATTTGGCACACTGTGCTTGAACGGCGGCCTGCATATTATGGCCTTTTGTCAGATAGGATCTGATTATCACACCGATATCGACCTTTTCTAAATTCTCCAACTCAATGCCCACATTGTTGAACAGCAAATCTAGGAGAATTTCTGAATTCTTATTTAGATTTGGTAAATGGGTCAGTGTCTCTAAAGTAACTACTTTGGTATTAGGTCACAGGTGTTGGAAGTTGTACTTACGTTGTTGTCAGTAGTTTGTGCTAATTTATTTCCAATGACTTTTGATCAGTTTCTAAAGTGAATTGTTTATTGAATAGGTACATGTGGAATTTAGTGATACCAAACAGTACAGCAAGTGTTTCATGCTTAATGTTGGAATAATTGGATTAAGCTTGTGGTGGACTTTTAGATAAAAATGCAATTGGAAAAGATATCCTTGCCACAGAGGAGTGCAACAAAGGTTCACCAGACTGACTCCTGGGATGTTAAGTTTACTGTCTGACAGGAGATTTGGTTGACTAGGCCTGTATTGACTCGAGTTTAGAAGAATGAGAGGGGATCTCATTGAAACATATAAAAGTATGATAAGCGGGACAGACTGGATGATGGTTCCCCTTGTTGAAGAGTTCAGAACAAGGGGTCATGGTCTCAAGATACACAGTAAGCAATTTTCGATCAAGATGTGGAGATGCTTCTTCACTCAGTGGGTGGTATGCCTAAGGAAATCTCTGCAGCAGAAGGTTATGGAGGCAAAGCCTCTGAATATATTTGAAAAAACAGGTAGCTTGTTAGAACGATTAGATATAGAAGTAGGCCATTGAGCCCATCAGGTTTGTTCTGCCATTCAATGAAAATCTTGGCTTATCTGCTAATCCTCAGCTCCACAGGAGAAAAATTCTGATTACCCTATATTGAATAGCATACAAGCAGTCTGATGATTTAGCAATGATAGAGGAATTCAGCAAGGTGGTGGTGAAGTAAAGTTGGATGCCTTAACCATACATACGAAGGCCAATACTGGGCCTTCAGATGAAGTTACTGAGGGTCATTATGCAGGTGGAATATTTTTCAGGTGGGCAGGAGGTGGGTTAAAGGAATGATGTGATAGAAGAAAGAGAAGTCACTGCATCTGATTCTCTTGTTATGGTTAGATAGATAAAAATGGAACCAAGTCATGAAACAGCTTTAAACAAACATCAAATGAAATTGTTTAAAATTTTCGTTAAAATCTTTTCAAAATCAGTATGGTTTAATCAACAGCCTGGCAGCCTTGCACGAATAAAGTTTCTAACATAAACATATAACAATGACATGATTCAAAACTGCTGTACACACCAGCGCAGTAGTAAAGAAGCATTGTGTTGCCGGAGATGCTGTATTTAGGACAATAAGTTAAACTGAAGATACATAACCTAGGGGCATAAAAGACTCTTTGTACTAAGAGCAGGGGCAGTTCTCAAAGATTTGTATGGAATATTTATATCTCAAACGATGCCATTGAACAGATCCAATTAGTTAACTATTTTAGCAGTGTTCAATAGGGATGCCAAGTTTGTGAAAAATGCTATTTAAGACAATTTGTTCTCTGCTTGATAAAAAAAAAGTCAATGATGTAGGATGATGCAACATCAGATTTAGCAACCCACTAAAATAAAATAATATTATTCTATCTTATACAAATAATATTTTGCATCCACATCTGCATGTCATTGGCTTTAATTGCAATATCCACTTACTGTAAGTTGAACAGTATTGGGCAATATACCACTGCAGACATTTCAACATTTCTTGACTAGTGTGATGACTGATTATTGTGTGCTAACATAACCATAAACAGCAGTACGGAGCTGTCAATTTATAGATGCATTTCCTAAGACAAAATAAAGCTGAAATGGTTTACAAGTGTTTACTGATTCTAGGTATTCTGCAAAACATCATGTAACTTTGCCAATTTTACAAAGTTAGGAGCAAAATTTGATGCGGATGCTGGCAAAATTCACAGACTAAACACAATACTGCCCATGTTAATGCATTCCAGCCATTTCCATAGGACAAATACACAATTCATGAATTTTTCAGCAATGTTTAATAGAAAGTGAATCACCTGCTGTGCAGAAATGGAGCAGCACAGACCAAGTCCTATTTTGTGAAATTCTATAGATGGTGTTCCTCACAGTAAGTAACATTAAAGTAAATATTATGTTTTAGCATATCAATTATTACATTTGCAGGAAGCATTTTAAAACATGTACGTATATAAAATGACCATTTTAATGCAATCATAATATAAAAGTTGTTTTAGAAAGTATGCTGATAGATTGTTCATATTAAGGTTTTCTAAAGTTAGACAACATCAGTTCCTGCAACTATTTAACTCAATATGTAAACAACTAATTATATCAGTAACAAGTCATAGCTAGGTTTGTCAGAACACAAATTATTTTATATACAGAGACGCAAATATATGCAGAAAAAATTGCTCAGTGTTAAACCGGATTTCTGGTGCAAACACAAGAATGGTCCAAAATCTTTCAACACCGTGAAACCTTATTCTTGACATAACATCAAATAATACTGCTCAAATCAAAACCAGCTACTTGTTAATTGTGAACAGGCCTGACTGATACCCAAGTTAAGACAGCTCACTGTATAACTGTATTTTATGCTTTGTTTAAGAAGTACAAGTTAGTCTAAAATGCAATTACATGAAGAGCAGACTGCGTTTGCCACAAAAAGCTTTTGTAATTTGTACAATTACAAATGAGAACAGTACAAAAATAAGTTATTCATGACAACATTGTGCATTTTCTTTGTGTAAGAGCTTACTAATCATTGTATACTGAACTGTTTTACTTTTAAAAATACTGGATTATATTGTGAGGTGGCCTCATCTTCACTACTTCAATTTTATCCTTCAGAGCTTGACTTCCTTATGTTATCCATCAAGAGAAAAACTCTGGATAAAGACAGCAGCTCAACTGAAGAATCTTCCAATTCTCTGTTAGAAGTCTCTTCTCCCAAGTGTGGTACAGGCCAACATAACATGGCCAGCTATTGTAATTATCACAACCAGCAAGAGCCCAAATTTTAACAACTGTGAGCAAGGACAGCTAAAATTATAAAATGTCAAAACTAATTATTAATACAGAACCTCACTCAGAGAGGCTGTAAGGATAGCCAGTTGGGGGAAGACATTATATCATAGCGAAAGCATTTTCCTGATGTTGAAATCAAGACATTGATAGGGCAGCCTGATGACATTTTGTTTCTGAATTCTTCCAGTTGCTTGTCGTAAACATTTGCCAAGGATTCTGCTTGGCTAATCAATCAGATAAGAATAAATATGATGGAAGAAATCCAGACAGTTAGCATTCTGTTCTATCTGTTCATACCAAGAATGAAAATCAGCCTTTTCCTCTGTCTTCCCCAAAGTCTAAATTAAGCTAACATTAACGTTCCAAGTTGCAGCTACATTGCTTATTCACTTCCCAACTTCAATAGTCTGTTTGAAAACTGAAATAGCTTAATATTTAAAATATGATTCAAATGCCAATTAGAGTCTGTTAATCAAATAACTGCAATAATTATTTCAGAATCATAATTCCTCCTTCCCTGTACAAATAATTTTAATATTTATTGCTCAAAGAATTCAATGCACATGATAAAGCCATTATAAATTAAAATTCCGTTCAATATATGTATTTCTGACAAAGAAAACAATATCTGAACTAATCAATTTGACAATTCCTTAACCTTCATCACAATCTCAAGCAAACTGGAGCTGGATCTACAAGGGTGAACTGCCTGCTGACAAATTGCATCTGCAACCTTTGTTCTATTACACTAACTTCATAATTTATGATTCATACTGGATGTTTACGACTAAAGAAACAGCAGAAAGCAGTTGATCAGTTCTAGTATTGTCTGATGAACATACTGCAATGAATTCATCAAAAGCAGTATAAGTCATGTCGTGTTCTGAAAAATAAGGTCTGTTCCTTTTACAATTTTTATCAGTTAATATACTTACTTTGCTTTCTTTAGTTGGAGTCTCCTCTTTCATGCCGGGAATGATTTTAAAAGTTATTGCTCCTTGTGACTGAGCCTAGACAAAATTAAAAATTGCACATATTAGTTACAATATTATTGAATTACGTGCAACAATTAAGAACTTACAACAATGACCAAAGTAACCAACAATGCAAAGAATTTTGAAAAGAATAAAATTAGCCTATCATTATTAATAGCCTTTCTGAGTTTCTTTTAATGTTTGCTTATTCCAAGTGGACCCAGCATCCATTAACCAGACACATCATCTTCTTCGAGCTCCATGTGTGTCAGGATGATTACCTCAGATCTGCTTCCTGGATTTATTATAAATTTTCACTAAGCAGCCACATTCTTCTATAAATGAAGACCATCACAAAGACAAAGATCTGATGTTCACAGATTCAGGCAAATAATAACCAAATATTAACAAACAGCAATATAATGCTAAAAAAATCTAAGCATTAACAATAAAAACATGGAAAATGGATCAGCTGCTTGTATCAAAGAAAATATTAGAATGTTTTAAAATTTGTTTTGAAAATAACTATTCAGTTTTTCCAAAAGATCTGTTTTGAATTCCTATGATGTTGAAAGGTTTTCATGGGATATCAACTGAAGCCTTTTCCTGTATTAAGACCAAATTTGCTCCAAGGTACAAAATCAATTTGTATGCTTATGTCAAACAGCTTTTGTTACCCACTCTTCAATGTCTCCATATGACTGGTGACTTCTTTATGTCACAAAATTGTAGTGAGAAAATAGCTGAAAAAAGTACAATGATCAGTAAAATTTTACGCACGAGGAATAATATCTAGATTGTACAGCTATCTACTTAAGTTGTTAGGAAGACATTAAAGGCTGAGCTGGATAAATCCATGTTTGCCAATATATTTTTTTGTAGCACACCAATTTGTGCACAAGATATATGCAATTTATGCATCTGTCCATAGTGAATTAAAGCCAAATTAGGCTAAAAAAAGAAACATTACAGATGAAAAAGGACACCATTTTAACATGCTATATATAGGAATAGAAGGAATCATTCATCCTCGTGAGTCTGTTCTTTCGTTCAATCAGACTATGAGGCAAATTTTAAGTGAATTTACCAACACTGATTCCATGCTGTTCATATTTTTAGCAAACAAAAATTACTCACAATTATGAAATTTTTGATTGGAATACCCTCACTGGCATTTTGGGAAAGAACCTTTCCATTACCCTTTGGGTGAAATGTCCTTTTGGACATCATCCTTGATACAGGCAAGCTTTAATTTTATGTTTATGCCCTTTTATTCTGGACTTCCACAAATAAGGAAAATCTTTGTTCTGCATTTGAACTGTCAATTACTTTCATTACCTTAAGCATCCCAATTAGATTACACAATCTTCTACTGAACAGGCTACTAGCCAAGGAAATGTAACAACCACATAATTTAATTCTTTTCAACCCAACATTAATCAGGTGAATCTGTACTGCAATTCCATTAAAGTTAAGGTGTCCTTTCAAGGGGAATTGCCCAGAACTGTATGGAGTTCTCCAGATATAGTCTAATCAAAGTCAATTCAACTGCCACACAACTTCCACTTCTTTGCATTAAAGCCTCATTGAAAAGAGGACTGTGTTTTTTTTGTATCAGCCCACTAGTTTATAGTCATGTCTGGGGGTGCACCCATTACTAACTCCCCTACTTCTCAAATTTTGGCTTCTTAGCATTTAGAAAATATTTGGATCTATCTTTCTGCAGTCCAAAGTAAATCACCTTGCATGTACCCAGATCTCCATGTGAGAGCATTTCATCCGTTCTCAATCAATCAATGGAACTTAGCAACATTCTGTCCCATCAACACTATTTACTGTTTTATCCAAAATGAATGATGTCATCAAACTGGAATATACAACTCTCAGTGAGGGAATGGTTGGTAATGGTCTGAGGCCTTACCCGACCCTCAAATGTTCAGGCATTACAGGGCAGGCAGGAAAGCACCCAGGAAATCTTCAGAGTGGCTCCACCTGGCCTCCACCTCTAAACCAGCTACTAGCGGAAACCATACAACTCTGTGGTCGAAAAGTAGCAGTTATAATCTAATCTTGAGTCACATTTTGACTCCACCTCCTCTATTTCTAAAAAACTTTACCTCTTATTTTACATCTAGATTTCATTCCATGTACATTTACAAAAAGAGTGCCTGCTTATTTGAGCTGAGAATTTATATTGTGTAACTTCACAACATATCCCTAACTACACCACTTCCTATCTTATAGGGAATAGTTGGCTCTCTTGATATTTAGCCTGATGTGAACAAATAATTGTCTTTTGTCATACGACTGTCACTATCTCCTAACTATTTCCTCAAAAGTGACTTTTTCCTGTTCCTTCCTTAAAATTTATATTCTCCAATGTTCTAATTCTCATTTCCTGGGTAGAGACTTCTTTGCTCAGAATGCTGCTGGTATAACTTATACACTGTCTAGTTTATAGACCCAAAAGTATTTAAAACACCTGAAGAAGCTAGACTATTGTGCCTGTGCTGGCTTTTGATTCACATAATTCAACATTAATCGCTCCACTCTACTCTCTTATGCTCTGCATTTTTCTCTGCTGTGTTCAGCTTTTATTCCATTAAAAGAAGCAATACTTTCTAGCTTCAATACATGTTGTGGCAAAGCATTCCATACTCAAGTAGGGAAATGCATAAAAATACTAACTTTTTTTGACCTAGGCAGCATTTTAAATGGATGATTTAGCATCTCTAGCTCTGCAACCAGAGAAAATAATCTTTCCTGTTCACCCTATAAGATCTCATAATTTAAAATTCAGTAGAAGCAATCTGTAAATCCGGTTTCCCTTCATAATTGTAAGTGCTTGTCCTTGACATCATGTTGGTGAATCTACACTGCAGACTTTGGAAAGCTTCAATCTCCCTTCTCTGAATACTGGACTACACGTGTTCTAACCAGTATTTATAATAGAATATTAGCTTTTTTTCACTGTATGTACTAATAATCTGAATGCACAATGCTTCAGCCTCAGCAGTTCTCTTTTTAGTCGGTTTCTAGAGAGTACTCCTGTTTTGTGCTGCAAATCAAGGTCCGCTATCTGACAATTTTATGATGGGCAATATAATTAGGTTAGTTAAAGAAGTAATGAATGTAAATTACAGATTAGTTAATTAATGACCAGTACAAAATTTAAGTAATGATATAAATTATGGTACTTCAAGTACAGTCATATAAGCTGTGAGGTCAGATAAGGTGATCACATTTGCTACAGCTCTTTGAAGGAGTAGCAAGCAAAGTGGATAATGAGAATCCTGCAGATGCAATATACATGGACTTTCAGAATGCATTTGATAAGGTGCTGCACAGAAGGTTTGTAAGTGAGGCAAGAACACAAGGGGTTAAGGGTAATATGTTAGCTCAAAGGAAGCATTTGCTGACCTACAGAAAGCAGGGAGTCAGGACAATTGTATCTTTTTCTGGTTGGCAAGCCATAACTAGTGATGTAGCACATAGTTTGATTCTTGGTGCCCACCTATTTACAATCTACATGAATGACTTGGACACAGGGATAGAACGTAATGGAGCCAAATTTGGAGATAATACTAAAATAGTGGAACAGTAAGTTGCAACAAAGAAGTAAGAAGTGGATAGGTTACATGAATGGGCCAATATTTAGCAGATGGAATTTAACGTGGATATGTGCCAGGTTATCCATTTTGGATGGAAAAATAAAAAAGCAACTTGTTCTCTGAATGGAGAGAAACTTCAAAATGCTTTGATGCACAGGAATCTGTGTGTTCTCATTCATGAGTCACAAAAGACTAGTATCCAGGTACAGCAAGTGATAAAGGAGGGCAAATGGAAGTTTGGTATTTACTGCGAAGAGAACGGCTTATAAAAGCAAGGAGGTATTGTTGCTATTTTACAAGGGATTGATGAGATTGCATCCAGAGTACTGTGTCCAGTTTAGGTCTCCTTACTTTAAGGATATAATTGCATTGGATGCAATTCAGAGAAGGGTCACTAGATTAATTCCAGAGATGAAAGGCTTCTGCTATGAGGAGAGACTGAACGATTTAGGCCAATACTTGCTTGAGTTTAGAAGGATGAGGCGAGATTTAATTGGGGTACATAAGATCCTAAAAGAGATTGGCAAAATAGATATAGAGCAGACATCTCTCCTTGTGAGGCAATGCAGAAGGAGAGGTGATGGTTTTAGGCTAAAGGGTGGCAGATTTAAAACAGATGAGGAGAAATTACTTCCCTCAAAAGCTCGTGAATCTGTGGAATTCACTACCCAAGAGTGCAGTGGATCCCAGGACACTGAATAAATTTAAGGTGATAAATAGATTTTTAATTAGTGAAGGATTGTGGGGAGCAGGCAGGAAAACAGAGTTGAGGCCGATGAGATCAGCAATGATTGTATGCAACGGCGAAGCAGACTCAAAGGCCTGAATTGCCTACTTCCGCTCCTGGTTGTTGGTTTTTTATAATGAATGCACCAAAGTAGAACATTCAGAGAAATCTGAACAGAGGATATGGATGAAGTAATAAGATATAATTTTTTAACTGAATATTGAGGAAGATCTAAGTACACACTATTAGGTAGTTCTTAGCAGTTTGTTGAGAGTGGGAAACCACCAAGGGACTTAAAAGAACATCAAATGTGTCAAAGGACATACATACCAATATTTGAATTATCTCCTCTGGTCTTTTATCATCAACCTCAATTCCATTAACTTCCTTCAGCTCGTCTCCAATATGGATAAGACCTATTTTAACAAAAAATATTTCAGCTGTGTATATAAACAGGAGAAAGTGGTGGGGTTGTGACAATGTCTCAAGGTCCAAACTATTAACCTAAAATTAAAAAAAAAAAGCTAGTCTCAGGAATGGTGACCACATAGTCATGAGTGAACTAGATGGCTTTTTGTAATAATGTCTTGAACATAGCAGTAGCATTCAGAATGTGGTTTATCAGCTAACTTAACACCACTTTCCCATATAACTATGCCTCCCCATATTCCTTGATGTCATTTGTATCCATTTAACTTGATAGATTTCTGTCTTGTACATGCTCAATGGTTGAACCTTCAAAGCCCTCAGGGTACAGTATTCCTTTCAGAAGGGAGATCTGCCATCTTCACCTTATCTGGCCTGTAATGTGACTCCAGATCCATAGCATTGTGTTGACTCTCAAGTGTTGGATGAAATGGACAAGCAAACCACTCAGTTGTAAAGTCTCAAAAACCATGGAGCTTTATCCAAGGCATTTCAAAGGACAACAGTAAACCCAGCTCTGTTGAACACCCTTATTAAAATTTTGGGGCTTGTGCCAAAATTGGGAGAACTGTCCCCCAGAGTCACAGCTATAGAATCATACCTAAATGGACAATGTCTCAGATACTATCATCTTCCCTGGTTGTGTCCTGTCTAAACAACAGTACAGACCCATCAAAGGCAGAAGCACCATGGTATAGAGTCAGGAGGAGTTGCACTGAGAGTCCTCAATATTCACTCCAGACCTCATGAAGACTCATGGTATCAGGTCAAGCATGGGTACAGGAATCTCCTGCTGATTACTACTTATCATTCCATGTTCAGAGATGAATTGGTTTCTTTCATGTTTAACATCATTTGGGAGAAGCACGAAGGTGACTAGGGGAAAGAATGTACGCTGGGTGGGGTACTTCAAACCTCTTTAGAAGGAATGGATCAGTCGTACCACTGCTGACTGACTTGGCTGAGTCCTAAAGAACATGGTTGCTAGATTGATTCTGTAGCAGGTGTTGAGGAGTGAAGAAAGAAAATTCAATTAGATATCATCTTTATCAATCTATTTGTTGCAGATGTACTTGTCTATGCTAGTATTGGTAGGACTGATCTTAGCACAGTTCTTGTGAAGTGGAAGTCCCAGCTCCATGTTGAGGATACCCATTAGTGTTGTATGGCACTATAGTGATAAATGTGATGGATTGCAAATGGATTTAGCAACACAAAAGTGGGCACAGTCAGGCATCTGCAGCAGTAGGATTGCATTCAACTACAATGTGTAACCACTTGGCCTGCATCCTCCCACTAACACTGACCAGGGTTGGCTCCTGTATTTGATGGCAATGAAAAGACTAGGAGGGCATACCACGAGCACCAAGCATGCCTAAAAATTAGGTACCAATCTGACAAAGCTACAACAGTGAATTACATGCAATAGCTAGAGCCAAGCAATTCTACATTCAACGGATCAGGTCTGAGCTGTGCAATCCCGACATAGTCTGTTGTAAACATTGACGGACAATTAAACCACAAAAAAGAGGGGGAGACTCCCCATCCTCAATGATGGGATGCCCAACATATCAGAGCACAAGACAAAGCTGAAGTGTACTGTCACAACCACTCAGCTCCCAACGTCGTTGCAGTCTTGGCTGAAACATGAACAAAAGAACTGAACTCCAGAGGTGAAGTGGCAGTGAATGCCCTTGACTCAAGGTAGTGTTTGACCAAGTGTGCATTATGGAGCAACAGCAAAATTGAACACATTGGGCATCAGGGGTAACTCTCTTGGTTTGAGCCACACCTAGCACAATAGTAGATGGTTACGAACACTGGGGGTCAATCATCTCAATCCCAGCACGTTGTTGCAGGTATTCCTCAGGAGATTGTTCTACAGCCAAACAATCAGCTGCTTCATAAATGACCTTCCATCCATCATAAGGACAGAAATGGGATGTTCACTGGTGAATAAACAAGATTCAGGACCACTCACATCTCCTCAAATACTAAAGTAGTCCACATCCGCAACACCTGAACAATACCCAGGTTTGGTCTGGCAAGTGACAAGTATTAACTAACACAAGTGTTAGGCAATGGTCACTTCCAACAAGAGAGAATCTAACCACTTCCTTTGACATTCTATGACATTACCATTGCCGGCATTCCCCCAGCAATATCATCTTGGGATTTACTGTTGACCTGAAACTGAAATGGACCAGATATTCAAATGTCATAGATCAGAGGCTAGGAACTCTCAGATAAATAACTCATCCTCTAACTCTCCAAAGTCTGCCCACCACCTACAAGGTACAGGTTGGGAGTGTAATGGAATACTCTCCACATGCCTGTCTGACTGCAGTACGAATGGCACTCAAGAAGCTTGACAACGTCCAAGACAGAGCAGCCCACCCATCACTTTCAATATTTATTCTCTCCACCATCAACATCCAAGTGGCTGCAGTGCGTACCTCTACAAGATGCAGTGCAGCAACTCACCAAGCCTTTTTCAACAGCACTTTCTAAACCTGTAACCTCTATCACCTAAAGGAGACACCGCCACCTGCAAACTACCTTCCAACCCACACAACATCCTGACCTGGAACAATATTGTCATCAGTTCTTCACTCGGTGAAAATCCTGGAATTCCTTTCCCAACAACACTGTGCGTGTATTTACATTATATGGACTGTAGCATTTCAAGAAGGCAGCTTACCCATGTCTTCTCAAGGGTAATCTGAAATGGGCAATAAATGCTAGCCTAACCAACAACACCCAAATCCCATAAACTAAAGAAAACAGTAATTTATGTTGCCCATTCTCAATTATTAGATTTTGAAGATGTCTCATAAAAATGTCCAAAGAATAAAATTGTACCACTTCTGTCTGCAGCTCCTCCTCGCATGATTCTTGCCACAACAATAGCACCAGTGCTTTCATCTCTTCTTATCGTGGCTCCCTATCAATCCAACAAAAAAGAAAATGAACAGGAATCCTTCACAAGTCTATTACTAAGCAAAATGAAGAAAGAAATTCAATATCAAAATGCTAGTTCTCAAAATACTTACTTACAAAATAGTGGTTTCATTTCTTTTGTAAATATACTTGCAAACTTTGAAGATTAATTAAAATGAAATGCTCCAAAATAAAATTTTACTCACTACAGGTATAAGGCTTGTTTTCAATTATTACAGTTAGATTTCATTGATTAAACAGCCTGGCTTCAACATCACAGCTTAAGTTTTTTTTTAAGAAAGCACTATTCGAGAAGGACTAACATCAATGAAATGTGAGAACTCTCCACTCTGAGTGGGTGAAATGACTGTAAGTGGATGTTAGGGATGCAAGATCCAGTAATGGTAAATGCATAACTGAATTTTTAAACAGCGTACTGAAACCATTTGAATCAAAGAAAGACTAGGATTTCAGAAAGAAGTTTTTACAGAAATGTTAATAATGGATATTGAAGTTGGAATCATAAAAGGAATCCTTGAGATTGAAAGAATTGGAACACTGATATTTTCACTACAATTCAATACACTCCAATTATAATTAATTCATTTAACTACAAAATATACCACAGGACAAAAAACTTGAAAGCATTTTCAGACAAAAATGTGATAAAATACATCAAATCTACTTTTGGTTACTTGAATACTGCATAAACTGAAAGATCACTCCTCAATTTTTTTTTTCCAGTTTCTTAAATTCAATTAAAATAATTTTTAGAAATTTTGAGCATTAATTCAGGAACAAATAGGAGATCAAGACCAATCTGTAGTTAGCAACATTTACCGGATGTAACAAACATCCAGTAAAAGTCATGAACAGAAAATACTAGAAATGTAAAGGTCAGACAGCATCTATGGAGAGAGAAACAAAGTTAACATTTTAGGTCAATGATCCTTTCCTCTCCAAAGTTGCCTGGCTTACTGAGAATTTCAGCAATTTCTGCTTTTAATTTCAAAATTCCAGCATCCATAGTCTTTGAGTTCAGTACATATTGGAATTGGGCTAAAAGAAACTCGCATTTATATTACATTTATTTATGTTATAAGAAAGGAGAACAACTGCTAGCAGGAAAAAAAAAATCAACAAATGGTCAAAGGAGATTTCAGAAGGGGTCCAAATGTCATGACAAAAAGAGTAGGTATTAAAGGAAAATCTTGAAGGAGGAAGATGGAAGGACATTAGGAAGGCATTCTGTAGCTTACAGCCAGTACAGCTGGAACTATACTATCATTCTCTTTTGCAATAGCTGTAAATTAATAGTGTTGATAGCAGGGACAGCAAAGTAGCCAGCTAACCGTGCATTCATCTAAGTATACAAGTACATCTTTGGTTACTCCCTCCACCCGCCATGATTCTGCAGCTGTGTAAAAGGGCGCTGTCGAAACAACTGCGTTCCTTTCATTACTGCTCAAATATCATCATATTGAATCTGAACTTGGAATGAAAATAGCTTTGTTTAAGCAATTTTTAAACCAATGCATGGCTTAATCCATAATTTAAATTTTGCAAACTTGGTCCTATTTCTTCCAGTAATAGGTTGTGTATATCATACAAGTCCCCATCACAAGGTGCACTTTAGTAAATATATGAATGGTACAACAGACAGACTTAAGAATAAAAAGATATCTGCAACCTGCGAATAGGAAAATACTGGGCAATTCTAAAAGGTAATTCAGATACAGACATAAATATTGTAACAGGCTTTTAGGTAGCCAGAAAAGAACAAGATAGAATACAATCTAAAGAAGCAATTTTACCAGAGGCTCTTTGTTTTTAACAAGTCGAATGATTTTCACTGAATCTTCTTCATCATCAAGATCATCAGGCATAGGGGGCAAGACAGGGTCATAATTCTTCATAGCTACTGTGTCATGAACCGACAGCAAAGCCTGCAAATATCCAGTTAATAAACCATTATGTGTTACATGAAACATTTCTTAAAAAAACAACTGTTTGGGCTTCAGAGATTTATGAACTATTTGCATTAAGTCTCCTATAAAAGCAGATGTTTGTTTTACAAATGTTTTCTTTGTGAAGTAAAATTACTGCTAAGGAAATACATCTCTGCATTTTGAAAAGCTGAGGTTTGAACATTTTCTGTCCTCTTCTCACCATGTCCAAACAATAATCTCACTGATAATAAAAACAGAAATGCTGGAAATACTCAGCTACTCAAGCAGTACCTGGAGAAAGAAACAGAGTTACCATGTGGAGCTTTGTTGCATCCAAGGTTCTGGGGGCAGAGATCATAAAATCACACAGCACTGAAACAACTCATCTGTGTTGACCAGGTTTCCCAAACACTGCCCGATGAGAACTGACAGCCAGAGGGAAAGAAACCCCCAACTTCACAATATCCAGTTCCCTGATCAGGCATCCACTGCCCTTCAATGAGAACTCTCTCCCACAACACGTGACTTCTAGCACATAGAAATTACAATGATTCAAATTCAATTATACTTGCATCATAAACAATATAAGCATTGCTCACTATTTTTATTGCCTGCAATGAATGTCTAAACCAGTTGCTGACCACAAACGTTCAAGCTTGCATCACTTGGATACAAGAGAGTGGAAATGATTGCTCTACCAGAGAGAATGACCACAGTGAAGAAGCGTATTGGCTTAGAGGTACTTGGCTCAAAAGTAGAGATAACTATATGGTTGATCACATCAGTTGGTGCAGCAATGTCGGTGAATATTAGGCCAAAGCCTAGCATTAGGAATGCTGAATGTTACAAGATTGTCACGCTTCAAAATGTCTAATTTAATTTAAAGTGAAACAGAACTCGCTGTAAGGGGGTGACAAGTTCATACTAAACTTCTTTCCAAAAACAGGCTCATGGTGTGGTTGCCATGGGGAAATTAACCCATACCAAAAGCAATTGAAAAGAAAGTGACAGATTCTCATCTTGATAGAGTAAAAGAAATTCTGCATGTTATAAACTTATACAGAGATGTGGGGGAAGAGACAAAGAATTATTGCTTTGCAGAGAAGCAACTACTGCTGTTAAGTGTAAGGAAAACAGTTAACAACAACAAAGCAAAATGCTTAAAAAAGTTTGATTTCTCTTCAAAAGGAAGGACATCTGGAAATTCCTCTACATCGGGGAAACCAAGCGGAGGCTTGGGGACCGCTTTGTAGAACACCTACGCTCGGTTCGCAATAAACAACTGCACCTCCCAGTCGCGAACCATTTCAACTCCCCCTCCCATTCCTCAGACGACATGTCCATCCTGGGCCTCCTGCAGTGCCACAGCGATGCTACCCGAAGGTTGCAGGAACAGCAACTCATATTCCGCTTGGGAACCCTGCAGCCCAATGGTATCAATGTGGATTTCACAAGTTTCAAAATCTCCCCTCCCCCTACCGCATCCCAAAACCAGTCCAGCTCGTCCCCGCCTCCCTAACCTGTTCTTCCTCCCACCTATCACCTCCTCCCACCTCAAGCCGCACCTCCATCTCCTACCGACCAACCTCATCCCACCCCCTTGACCTGTCCGTCCTCCCTGGACTGACCTATCCCCTTCCTAACTCCCTACCTACACTCACCTTTACTGGCTCCATCCCCGCCTCTTCGACCTGTTTGGTTCCTCTCCACCTATCCTCTCCTCTATCCCTCTTCTATCCGCCTCCCACTCTCTCCCTATTTATTTCAGAACCCCCTTCCCCTCCCCCTTTTCTGATGAAGGGTCTAGGCCCGAAACGTCAGCCTCTCTGCTCCTATGATGCTGCTTGGCCTGCTGTGTTCATCCAGCCCTGCACCTTGTTGTCCCTCATTAATTAGGACTTAATCTTTTACTGCTGAACACTTAACAGAACAGTGCACAAAGTAACAAAGTTCCGCATCTGCAGTTCTTTTGGTTTTCACAAAATAACAAAGTCTAATAAGGAAAATCACAGTTACGTTGAATACATTAATTTACTTTATACCTTTCTTTTGCTTGGTGAATTAGTTCCCTGTTGTGCAATGTAGCACTCCAGAAAGTCTAATCAAGACTTCACTTCTTCATTTCTGAAATCCACATCTTGACACGAAGCCTAACATTCCATTAGCTTGTACTGATTCATGTGATGATGCGGAGGTGCTGGTGTTGGACTGGGGTGGACAAGCCAGAAGTCACATGATACCAGGTTACGGTCAAACAGGTTTATTTGAAATCACAAGCTTTCGGACCGTGGACTTTTATCTGATGACGTGACTTCTGACTGATTCATGTGCATGGTTGATCAAATTTCTTTGTTGTATCCACAGGTCCTCATCTCTTACAAAGAAATGGCCTGTATTTATCTTTCAGATCTACAATAAAGGGCTGACCTTTCCCTACTTTGAACTCCTGTAATGCCATCTTCCCAAGCTTTTCTTCAACTTTAGTTGAATTGGCTTTATTGTCACATGTACTCAAATAAGGACAGTGAAAAGTTTATAGTCACCGCTTTACACAGCCTGGAAAAGTAAAGAACTAAATAGTCCAGCATTAAAGGTCTTAGAAATAAATAAATAAGTAAAATAAAGAAGCAGAAAGCTCAGAATATCAGTCTTCCAACCCAGTCCATTGGCACCTAGCCTCAAGAGAGACCTCCACTGCCTCGCCATCTCCTGCATCAGTCCCACCAACATAGGGATCGCCCCACTTTAGGCGCCATCTCTTTGCTGCTGCACCCACCTTCACCCGGCCACTAAGTCGCGACTCCTGCTTCGGCCGCAGATGTGGCTTTGCTGGTGCCGCTATTGTCGGCACTGCTGTTCCCCCAAGGTTGGAGGAGCTTTACTGCCACTGCGACCCGCCCAGAATGCCAGGAGAACAACCTCACTGCCGCCAGCCTCCTACTGCCAAGAGAAGCCACGTCTCTTTCTCTCATTTGTTGAATATGATCAGTATTGCCAATAATTAGCTTTTTTCACCAAACCAACTTTATACTTATCCTTTCGACTCCTTACCTTTTCATTTTTAACTATCTAATCTGGTCATCAAATCAACTGCAGTGGTTTCTCCTCCTGCTTTCATGGTGTCTTACAAGAATCTATTTTTATCCAACATTCACCTCAGCAGATTCTCAGCTTCCAAATGTACATCAACACCACCCAATTTTACCTCATCAACATCTTTCTTGAACACTCATTCTCAAACCGCTTGTCCAACATCCAGTACTCATCACAAGAAATTCTCTCCCACGAAACATTGGGAAGAAAGGGGCCATTTCCTTGGTGCCTATGACTAAATCTGCTGCCCAGCTAATGACATTGTTCCTCTCCCAGGCAACTGTATCAGGTTCAGCCAGAATCTTCACATCCTCAGTGCGACATCTGATCCTGATAAACTTTTCTGTATGCTTGTACCACCAGTAAGCCCATCTTTCTGACTTCCTTCACATCCCTCAATTCCAATCTGCCTCAGCTCATCTGTTGCTGAAACCCTCAACCATGTGTTTTCTTACCTCCATATGCAGTTTAACTGCCCCACATATTCCATCTTCTGTCAATTTGAAGCTACTCAAGACTCTACTCTCGTTGTCCTTACCAGCCTCGAGTCCACTTACATCTCCCCATGTTTAGCCACACAGATTCCTGCATGAGGGTTAGGAGGGATAAGCAGACTGATTCAGCCAGCAATGCCCACATCTCATGAATAAATTGAAACAAAAGAGGAAGGAGATTTGAACAGAAGCTTGATGAGGCCACATCTGGAGCATTATATACAATTTTTATCTTGTTTGAAAAAGTATATAATTGAGATAGAATCTTGGGATGAAAGGCTTTTCTTATGACAAAAAAAAACTAAACACATTGAGTATATACCAGGAGATAGCAAGAACTGCAGATGCTGGAGTCACAGACAACACACCAAAGGGTATCGACCCAAAACGTTAACTTTCCTGCTCCTCTGATGCTGCCTAGCCTGCTGTGTTCCTCCAGCTCCACACTGTGTTGAGCATATACCAGTTGGATTTTAGAAGAATGAGAATCTTATTGAAACATGCAAGAGTCCAAGATCATTTGACAGACAGGATGTTTCCCCTGATGGTCAGATTAGAACCGGCGGTGGCAGTTTAGGAGGTCTTGCTCATAAGTCAGAGGTAAATAATTGTTTTGCTTTTGGTTGTTAGCTTATAAATGTTTGTTCCTCTAGAAAACAAGTACTTAATATAATGGGTTGCAGATAGAAAAGTGGAATCCAAACCATAACCAGATCAGCCATGATTTCAGTGAATGGCACAACTGGCTTGAAGGGCCGAATGGCCATTGTAGAGATAGATTTTAATGAATATGTAGGTAAGCCTCTGAGATTAACTGTCATGTAACTTTAACAGTGGTCATGTTGCAGTAGCATGCCAGGAGGTTGGGACCTGTACAGCACAGAGCATGATGTTCTATTGCCTACCATCATATACAGTCTATTACTAAACATTCTTTAAAAATAATCCAGAAATTTGGCCTAAGCTTGCATGAATGACTGAAGAACAAATACTAGAACTTCTGTTCTGTTCTTCTACTTCTGTTCCCAAATGCTTAGGTCCCACATAGGGAGACCAACTGATGTACAGCTGTCAGTTTCATGTATTTTAGCTTATCATCTCCCTTCAGATATATTTCCACTCTTACTTCTCAATAGAAGTGCAGTGCAATGCAATGGTGATGTTTCAGAATACACAGAATAGATACATTCAAATGAGGAAGAAAGGTTCCAAGGGACGGATCCACCATTTGTGGTTTATGAGAAAACTTAGGTGTAGCATAAAACATAAACAAGAAAGCTTATAATTGCACCAAGATGGGTATCAGAAGACTAGACGTTACATAGAAATAGTAAAACACAACTACAAGATTAACAAGACGGGAAAAATTAGACTATGAGAGAAAGCTAATTAGAAATATAAAAACAGATA